TGTAGGTGTTGCTGCACTCAGCATTACAATGCCTAACTGATTTAGGAACCTAAATCTCACTTTCCAAAGGGGTTTAAGCACTTATGAGACAACAATCCCATTGAGAGTTAATGGGATTTAGGCCCTTAAGTGCCCAAATCACTTTTTAAACTGAGACTTAGGCATTGCAACGCTGAGTGCCACAACCCCTAAATACCTTAAGAAATTTTGGCCAGAGACACTACGTGAGTGACTCAAGCTCACAAGGGCAGTCTGGGAGTAGAACCCGTCTCCCCAGTCCCAGGGTAGTGCCCTAGCCACTGCACAAGCCTTCCTCTTTCTAGTTGGGTTTTACACACATTTTGTGCACTCTCTACACTGCTGAGAGTCATTTCACAGGGTGCAGTGGCAACTGATTCAGGGCGAGACCGTGGAGCGCACCCAGGAGAGGAGACGTGCAAGGGAGCCTTTCCAGGTGAAGGTGAAGGCAGGAGCAAGTATGTGGGTGAACGTGAGCGGGTGTATACACCTGTGCAGAGGAGAGAAGGTGAGTTTGATGCTTCAGTCACATGTACAAGTTATGAATATGCTGTATGATCTCACCTGCACGCATCCTCACCAGTGCCAGGCACCCCAGTAGATAAAAGGAAGATGGCTCACGTATCCCTACGTATCAGCGCGCCTTGTCTGAATGTTTGCTGTGGCTGACAATCCCTTTCAAAATCTGCCACACCCCAGGGAGAGAAGGCGTCACACTACGTCCCAGGCTGGCACCACCTTGGGAATGGGCATCGCTGACAAAACGGACGCAGAGGATCAAAACCCAAAGGCAGGCGTCTATCCGGGTGGGGGGTGTCTTATCTCCCTCTGACAAATACCTGAGCGGGGCGCTCTCTTCCTTACCTTTTGGCAATACTCGTCTAGCTGGTCAGGCCAACAAAGTCTTACAGAATTGAAGTGATTTCTTGGTCACCCACTCTCCAAACACTGTTGCTCTCCTTGGAGCAGCTGGACCCCTGGGATGGTGTTATTCCTGTAGCCTGCAGGGTGCGGACCGAGCCACTAGTTAGGGATTGCTATTTGGTAGAGGCTGTCCAGCCAAAGGGAAGGGGACATTGGAGAAAGGGGCCTAGACCTGGGCGCTGCAGATTCAAGTGGAAAAATCTCAGCGCTGCACCACCAGAGTTCAAAGGGGCTGTTCTATTTCTCCTCAAGAGGGAACGCGGAGGGGCCGGTATTGATCTGTCTTCATTACCCATTTCACTCAAGTTTCAAATCAACAAAATACACTTTTCCGCTCCAGTGCCCTCCCTGCCACAGCAGACAAAAGAAAAAGCAATTTCCTCAAGTTTGCTCCAAACTCTCTGCTCCTTCCTCAGCGCCCTTCTTCCCTCTCCCATGACGGACACATTTCTAGCCCCAGAGACCTCGTCCCATAGGGGACAGGAGTCTCCCCCTTCCCCTCCAGCAGGCAGAGAGCAGGATGGGATGTTATCTCCTAGCTGGCCACCTGCTGATCCATGCTATGGCTTCTAGGTTGACAGGAAGGGGGGTGATTTCGGAGTGAAATTGCTACCTTTTTGCCTGGAGGTTCATGGCCTCTACTCATCCACAGAGCAGATGCAGCATGGGACAGTGGCAGTACAGGAATCCCAGCTGCCTAGTCTCTAACAGGGACTGGAAACAGGCAATACAGCTTGACACTTCCAGACCTTGGGTACAAAACTGGCAGAGGGTGACAATGACCCAAGGTAGTGCCCACCAAATGGCTGTTTGGCAGCTGATGGGAAATGAGCTTGGTGGGTCTCGGGCCAGATCCCAGGAGGCAGCATCCTTATCACAAGTTGCTCCCATCGCAACTGGTGCTTGTTGCCCATCCAAAGAGTGAGTGGGAATAGGGATCAAACCCCCTTTCTTACCTCTAGAGGGCATCCCTTCCAAGACACACTGGTGGGGCAGCTGTCAATGTCTCTCTTACGTCTGTTCTAAAGGTCAACAGATTTCAGTCTCCAGGTCCATCATTCTGGTAATCAGCACTAAACTCACTTTTAAAAGAAAGTCACAGAGGTTGACTTCCAGTATCCAGAGCCGTGGTTCTCAACCTAGTTACCATTGTGGGCCGCACATGCAGCTCTCTTACGTGTTATGTGGGCTGCATCCACGCAATATATACACTATCTGTATGGCCCTGAGGATGTCACATGAGCCGCAGCTGTGTGTTGATTGGACTGCAAGTGTTGAGAGACATTGATCCAGAGTCACAGCTAATGGGATATAGACCGAGACACCCCCACCCAACTCATCCCACACGGAGCCAATGAACAGCCACCAAATGTTAAATTTCATCCACTTGGTGACATGGGCTGGATCTGAACCAGTGACTTGGCTCTAACAGCCCATGACTGATCCCCAGCTTCTTAACAGCTGTAGCAGTTCACTGGGAAAGTTCAGTGCTAGAGGGTGACCCAAGGCACAGAGTTCAGGAGAGTTTGGATCTGGAGAGGTCATTCAGAGCGACCTGCCCATGGAGCTATGAGACCCATCCTGAGACTCCCATTCAGGTCAGCTAGGATTGCAGGTACTCAGCCCCTTTCATGATCAACAAGCTAAGACTTGGCAGGCTTTCACACAGGAGACGGAGCATGGAGATGGGAACACAGGTGGGAACCAGAAAACACCAGCCCTGTGACACCACACCCCCAGTGAGGCTGGAAAGCACCGGGCATTAGGTATTTTATCAACATGTCTTGAACTGATTCTTCCAGCATCATCTAGCGCCCCTGCACGCAGTTCCGTTATTAAGTTCCTGGAGGCAGAAATGTAGGGACACAAACCATGCCATGCTGGGGGAAGAACCCACTTACAGTGACAGTAACCACCCACATGCAATTTCTTTTTTAGGGGAGAAAAAGGGGAGGTTTTGTTTCAATGGTGCAAAGCAATTTTTTGTAAGGTTTCAGACTTTTTTTACCCCAGCTGCAGCAATCACATGAACTGCACACTGCACCCAGGGCCAGCTCCAGGGTTTTTGCCGCCCCAAGCGGCGGAAAAAAACCCCAAAACCCGGGATCGCGATCCGCGACAGCTCCATTGCACTGCTTTCTTCTTCGGCAGCAGGTCCTTCCCTCCGAGAGGGCCTGAGGGACCCTCTGCAGAATTGCCGCCAAAGAGCCCGACGTGCCATCCCTTCCCCTTGGCTGCCCCAAGCACCTGCTTGCTCAGCTGGTGCCTGGAGCCGGCCCTGACTGCACCTCTGGGTATGTCGAAGGAAAGAGGATTGGGGGAGCTTCCGCGTTTGAAATACTGAGTCCTCGCAAGCTCAGCAGCTACGTACTGCTTTTCAAATACACATGAGCAACATTCTCTTAACTATCACAGCCGGCTCGATGCCCCAGATGTTCCCCTATCAGCAAGGATCCTTAGAACAGGGGCAGGATCCTGACATACTGAGGCCCAAAGGCAGTTAAGAATGGAGGCACCCCAACTGAGAGACCTGGGGCCTGGTTTTGCAGAAAGTGCTGGGCGTCCACCTCTCTCACTGGCATCCCTGGGAGCTGCGGATTCTCAGCGCCACTGAATAAAAAGCAGACTTGCGTTGGAGGGAGAGGGTGCCCAAAAAATGAGACATCAAAAAAAATATATCCAACTATCAGTGGCCACCTTTCATGATATCCAAGGTACGATGAGACTGACACTGCCCCTCTCTGTGCCTCAGTTTCCCCATCTGTATAATGGGGATGATGGTACCAATCTCCTTTGTAATATGCTTTGAGATCAACTGATGAAAAGTGGTATAGAAGAGCTAAGTATTATTATAATGGACATTAAGGACATTTCCTCCTGCCAGCTGATATTAGACCCTAACCTCCATGCAGTTTTTCTATTTAAATCCAGTAAACCCCAACTCAGCAAAGCATTTAAGCATGTGCTTAAGTCCCACTGAAATCAACGAGACTTGAGTATGTTCTTAAAGTCAAGCATATGCTTAAATTCTCTGCTGAAAGAGGACTGACTGCTGCGTGAGGGCCTCAGATACCAGCAGGGAGTTTGGGGGACTGGTTTCAGCCTGAATGGGGCATTGTGCCCCCTTCATTTTGAGCAAACTCCAAAAATCTCCAAGTGAAACTCAGCTGAAAGAGAGGAGCTTTTTATCTGGATTTAACGGAGAGCCGCAAATCAGGCCAGACTGAACCCCCAGAGTCTGTTTCATCCAGTCCCATTACAGCCAAGGTGGGGAGAGAGGAGCTGAAATGAAACCTAATGGTATTAACTAGCATGAAAAGGACAGGCAGTGCGCTGCAGAACAGAGCCCTGCTCACCAGATCACTGCACTAGGAGCGCAAGAGAACGGCCAACCCGACCGCGATTCCACAGGGCAGTGCTGAGCAGGTCTGAGTGCCCTCAGCTCCCTTTGAAGTCAATGCGAGCTCAGCAGCCCAGTGCAGGATCAGGCCGCTAGCCAGACAAAGAGCAGCCTGGAGAGCCAGCCCCTACTCCTAACTCCTGCCACACAAGTGAGACAACACAAGGGTTGCAGGATCGGTCCCTTCAGGACCTAATCCTGAACAGGTGCTGATCACCTGCATCGCCCACTGACGTCAATGGAAGTGACGGGTGCTTAGGAACCTAACTCACAAAAATCTCCCCGGCCTCTGATTCCATAGCTCCCTCCAAGAGCAGTGTGCTTCCCCCACTCATTCCATGCTCTCTGCCCCCCCTTCGCCACCCTGGATTTGGTGGTGGAGAAGCCCTGCTCCCCGCCTGCCGCCGTCTCACCATACAATAGCCTCTCTCCTTCTCCACTTCAGTCTGAAGAAACCCTCCTGGTCAATCTCATCCACACCATTCCCCGTTAGATAAACTTCCTTTCAAAGGAGTCTGCTTAATCCTCTATCTCCCCTCCTTCAGATCCTCCCCCAGCTGCTGGGCAGGGGCAAGCCGGGAAGGAGGGGGCGGGGAGACAGGTTGCTATTCCTGACTCATATAGCCTACAACTTTCACAAGTTCTTTTGCAAGACAAAAGGAGGAGGAGGGAGCCGGACTCTTAACTCTGAACAAGCCAGCCAGATGGATGGACAGACAGCAGCGAAAGGGAGGGGTGGGATGGAGGAAAGAGCGCAAGAGAGAAAGCAGATCACGAAAGACTGAGGGTGAAAGGGAAGATAAACAGGCAGTGACAGAATGAGAGAGACACACCATGGGAGAAGAAACAGAAGGAGGGAAAACAGAACGTGAAAGAGAGAAATGGAGAAATAGACACACACACACACACACACACACGTACGTAACCGGAATCTGACTTCACTCTTACTGTCTTTGTTCTTTCAAGATATTTTCCATCCAATGACTGCATTTCCTTCCTGAAAACACTATTGGAAAAAGCTGCCTGCTTGTGCGGGAGAAGCCCTGACTAATTATTGCTGTTAATACCGCAGCTGTGATTTCCCCTCATCCGTTCCCTCTTCACTTTCAAACCCATTAAGGCCACGCGGCAGCAGGTCCGCTGTCCCTGCAGGGGGTCTGCGCCTCTGAGGCAGGTGGGACGAAAACGGAGACCTGTTTCAGAGTGGCTCTGGACTCCATCCTATTCTGCTAAAGGGATAGAGGTTTTCTGGGGAGTTTCAAGCCTGCAGCAATCAGAGACAGGAAAGATCTATTAGGCCATCCAGTCCAGTCTCCCGTCCCTGCCAAGGTGGGATTCCTTCCCCTAGTGCTTTGTCCCGTCTAAAAATTTAAAAGATTTCAAGGAACGGGACTTCCACTGCTCTCACAGAGAGGCTATTCCAACCCCCAACACGCCACAGGCCTGAGCTGAAGCACACTGTGGTCAAGGGGAACGAAGGCACGAGGTGGAGCAAATGCGCTCGATATCAGGTTTGCCGAGAGAGAGGAAGGGAGGTGGAGACCCCCCCAGGCGCTCAAAGACACCCCCTTGCCCAGCCCCAGCGATAATGCTGTCGGTGCAGAGCTGAGGGAAGGAGAGAACAAGACAGACCTGATGGAGAGAGAGAGAGACGGGTGAAAAGATCAGGAGGCAATTATACAGCTTGCAACAAAACAGGGGGAAGAAGGAAAAACAATAATAAAAAGCCAGGGCGGGGGGGAAGGGGGAGATTAATTTAATCCCTGTTTCATTCCAGGCGCGCGTTGCCGGGGGTGGGGGTGGAGAGAGGAACAAACAGCAACAAAACTGTCCCGTGGATCTCGCTCTCAGGGGCACCTGGATGAGCAGAAACCGACATTCCTCTCCTCCCTCCTGCCCCAGATTCCCCTTCCCGCATCCAGCGGGCTTTGGAGCCAGCTCTGCCTGCTATAGGAAGGACCTCCGGCTCAGAGAGAACTCGTGCTAATTACTTTCCTTTGTTAATTAAACCCACGTGGCTCTAATAAGGTAACCTGCTGTTCGCCGATAAATTTAATTAGCCTGAAGGGAGAGCCCCTCCGCACAGCTCTTTAAATTGTCACTTTATATTCACTTGGGCCTTGCTTCTCTCCTTCTCTTTTTGGAGTTAGGCTCCCTTTGCCGGCCCCCCTTCGTGGGAGGAACCTGCCGGAGCGTGGCTGAGGCTGCCAGTCAACAGGTTGAGGTTAGAGAAGGACACTGCCTGTGAAAAGGTGAGGGGGTTGAGGTCATGACCATGGTCAGCCCCCTTTCCCTCTCTCTTGTGGCAATTTTACTCCTCCTGCCAGCCATCCTTTCTGGCAGCACCACGTTTCCCCCCTCAGCAGTGCCCTGTCAATGCCAAGGTAAACCACCCTGGTATTGGTCTCCCTCTCGTGGCCGGTCTGTGTAAGAGGATAAAGACCTACTACCGCTACCATCTCAGGAGTCCCTCTTTTAGCTCACTCTTTCAGTGCTGCAGGTCCCAGGTTCAAACCCCACTGCCAGTACCTCCCCCTCGTAGTGCCAGTGATCCCAGCGAGCTTCCTCTGGCAGGCAGTGCCCTGCCTCCTGGGAGGAGCCCACGTATCACCCTTCCCCCCACAGAGCCACGGGCACTAGCTGTCCTGGCATCTCACCCCAGCACACGGGCCTGCTGGCCCCAAGAATGCTTTCCAGGGGACTCTCCCCCATGGGTGGGGTGTCGCAAACTCCTGGGAGGGGAGCGCTGCACCCTCCCACTGCAGTACAGACAGACTTGCCCTGTCCTTCCACAGGGTCCAACGCCCTACAGGCGTCTGCTTCTATCTCTCTCTCTCCAGGTCCTTGGTTGCCAAATCCAGGGCTGTGTCCAGACAGCTACAGAGCAACAGGACCACTCTGTGGAGAGAGGGGTAAGTCCCAGCATGTTCCCTCATGTTTAATTGGTGAATCAATTTAGTGCTCAGGAGAAGAGGGATGAACAGGACTGGCCTGAGCCCGGGATACGGAAGGCAGCTGTTGTTCCCTTGCTCCCCAGATGTGCCAACATCCCTCATTCCTGACCCACAGCAGCCCCCTTCCCTGTTTGGGATTCCAAATCCAGGCTCCTGTTGAACTGACCGCCAGTTGCTTTGCAGCCAAGATGCACTGTGGGTTTTATGATGCGGGCAAATGGGGCCATACAGGAGTCCACCAAAGGCAACTCCACTCATGACCTGAGCTGGGATTTAAAGCCAGATCTGCAGAGGTGAAAGGCCAGGTCATTAACCCCAGCTCCCTCTCTAACCTGGCAACACCCACTCACCCCACCTCCTTCCTGGACCCTTGCCCGTCATCCTGGGTCAGACTATAAAATAAACTGCCCCTGCTCCCCCCACCACCCTGATGTAAGCCTCTTCACGATAGCTACATAGGCTTAGGGTCATGTCCTTCCATATGGTCCCAGGACACATATGGATATCTCTGTCGCTCTCACACACACACTCTCCCCCTAACCCCAAATCTCCCAAGTACACTAATATTACACTCCCGCAACCCTCTCCCACCATAAACATGTGCCCCTTACACACAGCTCATTAATACACACCTACTGGAAAACAGCCTCCCCCTACCAGACCCCAGCCTGCCCCCCAGAACCCACATACGCAGGAGAACTTCTCCTTGGGTGAAATGAAGAAGCCACAAGTTAGATGGATTTGCAACAGCTGTCCTAATCCTCCCCCTAAGCATTCACCGTCTGGCACGAGCAGTCCAAACCAGTGAACAGAGAGGGGGGTGGGGGGGGGACTCCTCTCCTGAAATTTAACCTGTATCCAAAATACCGGAGAAATTGTTCCTTCCTTCCCCCATTGACTTCTCTTATGGTGAAGCCCATAGGGACTCGAGAGGGACTCTACAAAGTGGTTAAAAAGCTTATGGAGTCGTAGTGGAGCACGTGACCGCCCTGTAGGTGTTTTTAAGCCAGGGACTCTATGGCAGGGAGCGTGAGTGTATGCACGCATGTGTCTGTAAATGGATAAGCCTTCCCAGAGCACCCGCAATCATTTAGGAGCACCATTCTGCTGAAACTCAATGACGCTCCTAAGCTGTGGAGGCGATCTTGGGAAGCCCACCCAGGACACAGAAATGAATTTCTGGAGATTGTGCCAACCCCTCCAGTGGAGGAGTTCTCTTTGTGCTAGTAGAACACTTCCCATAAGGGTGTGGGTGAAGGTGGTTCTCTGCCTCACCTGGACTGCGGGTTGCTTGTTCTCATTGCTGCTAGGAGAGGTCAGCCCCGTGGCCTGCTGCAGAAGGAACTGTCTTGCCACCTGGAGAGCCTGAAAAAACAAAAACAAAAAAAGATGAGAGTGTGGTGGAGGAGAAGAGGTAATTTCTCTTTTCAAGCTCCTTGTGCCTTATCTACCTGTGTATGCGCTCACTACCTAGACACCGTCCAACTGGAGACAGACCCACTTACTGGTACAGCCTAGGGTTACCATACGTCCGGTTTTT